TTTTACTATTAACGTTTTAGATTAAAACGAACGATTTTTTGCGGAGCTTATTCAACCCATATGGTATTAATTTATAAATAAATATGATTGTTAGAATGGAAATTTAATATAGAATATTTGTTTCCTTAACTCTATATACTTTAAGCGAATATCTTAGAAGATATCGCAATATAAAAATATTCGCGCGACAAAATTGCTGCAACCCTCTTAAGTGAAGGAAAAACTGTTCATTGTACTTTTAAATGCCCGCTATCCGTATCTCTAGATCAACGGTCTACATGTTCTATCAACAAAATGGGCCTATCGGTAAATTATTACTAGAAGCGCCATTGATAATATGGGATGAATGCACCATGATCCATATAGCGCATGTCGAGGCTGTGGATAGATGCCTTTTGAGCAATACTCTCACCTAGAAATGACACTGTCAATGAAATAAATAATTTAATTTTACACAAAGTCCCCGGCCCCGGTCAAAACATATAAATCTATAGACACCGTTACTAATATCGGAGACACAGTACATTACCCATAGGAATTTCTAAACGCTCTTAACCCATCTGGAATCCCTCCACATGAATTAACGTTAAAAATTGGAACGCCTATAATGCTATTGCGAAATTTAAGCCCTCCTGGCATGTGCAATGGCACGCGTCTTCTTATAAAGGAATCGAGGGACAATATCATTGTAGCGACCATAATCACTGGCCCCGCAGCCGATCAGTTTGCGCACATACCCCGGATACCTATGATCCCTACCGATTTGCCAATACCCTTCAAACGTCTTCAACTTCCTATGAAAATATCGTTCGCTTTAACAATTAATAAATCTCAAGGCCAAACTTTCGACTTAGTAGGCATAGACTTAAGAAAAGAGTGTTTTACTCATGGCCAACTGTATGTTGGCTTATCGCGAGTTAAAGCTCCCGAAAACAAAATATATTTTATTACCCCATAATAATATAACATCAAATGTCGTTTACAGAGAAGCTCTAAATAATTAAATATTAATACTTCTTATGGAAACAAAACCGTGCGAAGCCGGGGCGGGCTGCTAGTCATTATATATCCTTATATGGATTGTTGGCTCTGATTATGTAATACAATAATGCTTCGTTTGAATAATTATTTTCTCTTATTTATAGAAAGTAAGTACTTAATATTTTGTATGCCTATCGGCGGGACGTAGCGTGTACTTAAAAAAATGGATTCTGTAACCACCTGTATCACAAAATCAAATAAATGAAATATGTGTTTGTTATTATTATAAACAATTTCAAAATGATGTCAAGAGAGTGTTGCCCAATCTCAGTGTTCACTGCGTTATGACGTAGGCGCCATCTTGAGGTTTTTATCTTTATCTTTTAGAATTCAAGGTGCAGATAGCCAGTTTGTTGAACAACAAATAAACATAAACTACAACTTATTTATTACCACCTCAATGGTATATACGAGTACTAGATGAACTAGATCGTATTAAATACCTAATCTACTCAATAAATGTTGGTGTAATTCCTCTAGACCCAAAACAACACATATTTTTATGTAGGTACTTATGTACTTATAAGCAGGCTTGTAATTATATACTCGTAAATGAATTTTAATGAAACTAAAATAGTATTTCATACGCCCATTACTGGGGTATTTTGTAATTATTAGTATGTATTTCTAATGGTTGTAGAAATCAGAACCCAGCAGCAGGAGGAGCAGTATCGGCAAGGAAGTACAGAATTTTACATAATCAATATCAGACTACTATTTAGTCAGCTCAAATGAGATAAGTTTAGAGCTTACTGGTTTCTCTTGATACGTATAGGTAAAACGGTTCATATTAACAGAAACTTGCTCTAAACAAGTTTGTCCTCGTCATTGTTTTGTTTTGTTTATATAAATTCTGTCGCCATTTATTCATTCTCAATCACGAAGTTATTTGTTTGATGCGACATTTTTAATGACCCCCAGTTGCCAAGTTAAAAAACCGGCCAGGTATGGTCGAGCTCGTGCGCCGAGGGTTCCGTACCTACCCAGATTTTACGTAGATTTTCGCGAAAATTCGTAAGTACCAAAATTAACTTTAATTTTCAACTTTTTTTATTTTTCAGAATTTTCTATTTACTTGTGCCTTTTATTTTTCCGAATTTTCTCTTTACTTGTAAGACCTTGCTTTTAACCAAAATTGACAATTCTAGGTCAACCGGAAGTACCCTATAGGTTTTGGGTCGAAAACCTATATGGTAGTTCCCGTTGACCTAGAATCACGAAATTTGGCAAAAAGAAACGTCTTAGAGCAGAAATAAAGGAATAAAATCTGGGTAGGTACGGAACCCTCGGCACACGAGTTCAACTCGTACCTAACCGGTTTCTTTTTATTTAACGCCGAAAAGAGGTCTCCGCGCAGGCGTTACTACATGAGCGCAACGCTGCTTGAGACAGTTTATTACACAAAATATTTTTTTATGGCATTAAATATTAATTGAAAAATTTGATAAAATTAGGGCGTCATCAGAACACTTGAAAGAATAAAGCCGAGTTGATGTCGATTTTTTAAAAAGTTATAAGATTGTTAATTAATTAATTTGTATGCTATCTCTGTTTTTACAAAAGTCGTCTTAGGGCCCTTCTTATATACATACTTTACAAGATTTATCAAAGTTTTATATTTTGTTCGTTATGATTCTTTTTAAATGAACAAAAAATAAAATATTAAAAACTTATATTATGACTAGCTGACCCTGCAAACGTTGTTTTGCTATTTACAATTGAATTGAATTTCTTAAAATCCGTTCTTAGCTGACCTCTGCTCGGTGAAAAGAATATTCCTACCAAATTTCACGTCTTTAGCTCTAATGGTTCCAGAGATATCGTGATGAGTGACTATATACGTGGAAATCTCTTATATATATATATATATATATATATATAGATAATTTGATAAGAGATACGAAAGTGGACACTGGCATCGTTTTTGTAAAGGATTAATCAATCTTTCAAATGGATAAAAGCAAATCAATTAAAGGGATTAAGCTTGTAACTTTTGCTAATCAGCTGTTACAGTACTTTGTTATATATGACTGTTTTAGTGATTTTTTTACTTCCAGAAAAATAACCGACAGACAAATTGTTTACAACAAATTGTAACTTGATAAACAATGAAATTATGTACAAAATTTTTTATTAACTTATAGAGAAATGGAAATTAGGAAATTTAAAGAAAAAAAATATCGTAATTAATTATTTAAACAATCGAAATTTAAAACAAAATCTCATACGAGGTATTCCCGAGCGAGTAGGGGTTTAAAGTTTTAAAGTCGACATCCTGGTCGCCGCCCTCGCCGCCGCTCAGAGATGAACGCGTCCATGGACTACGATGACACCGACAACGTTTACAAAACGTTTGAAACTGTAGTGATCATAAAAGTATGTTTTTTAAACTGATTTATGGTTTTCCTATTTGTTTTTAATAGAAATACAAATGATAAAAAAGCGAATTATACATTTTATGCTTCAAGTAGGTTAGTAGGTGAGTAGAACATTTTTTATTTCGTATCTTTAGCATATCCGAAAAGAAACTTGTATTTTAATTAAAGCCAAGCCTATAGTTTGCTTACTTGCGAGTACAAATGTGTATATTTTTGTTCATATTTTAATCCTTTGACGAGATTTAGATTACTTCCTTAATTTGCTAAGTCTTAATATAGGCAACAAACCCGCCATGAAATTTGACTATTTGCATGCTAAAGCTTGGAGTATTTTAATGTATATTTACAAATAGAAGCCAAATAAAAAAAATATTACAGTTCAAAAGAAGATAGCAGATGTCACACTCAGACAACTCTAAGAGTCACGTAAAACTCTAGCAGGTAAAGACTAATGAATACTACCAGTGAATATTTATTACTTCCTTGTAAAGCGTCACTACCGCTCAAAAATGTTACTTCCGCGAGAGTAGTGATTGTGTTTATTTTAAAATGCTCACAAACCATTGTATCTATTGATATAAGGTAGTAGTTGTAACTCACTTCCTAGACAAGATGTCAAGCCACGTGACGTACACACTAAAAGTAGTGAAACAATATTTACAATCAAATAAGACATCTTTTAATCTTTTGTTAGTTTCTCTCGATATACATTTTTTTTTAAGACAACTCCCGCTTTAGGAATATATCCTGTGTCGCGGGGGACTTTACAAACATACATGAAACGGACACAAAGAACACCCAGACTCAGAATAACAATTTGTGGATCACTCAAAGTGTCATCCCATGTGGGGTTTGAACCCAGAACACTAGACGTAGTAGGACGTAGGAAGCGGCGTGGCGACCGCTTAAACTATTACGCATTCCGTGGAGTCAAATGGATTTACTGTATTTGTTATGTAATTCTTTCTTTTTTTTAGACAACTTACGCATTAGGAATATATCCTGTGTCGCAGGGGGCCTTTACAAACTTACATGAAACGGACACAAAGAACACCCAGACGACAAGGTGTCGTCCCATGTGGGATTTGAACCCACAACACTCAGCGTAGTATAAAACGGCGTGGCGACCGCTTAAACCTCTACGCATTCCGTGCAGTCTAGTCTATGATATATGTATAGTTACATATGTGTACGGGAATAAACGCACTCAGCTAATAGCTTTGATGTGCCCAACGATTCGACCAAGTTGCATTGGCATGACAGGCTAAATTAGAGTTCAAAGATATCTCATAGTTACATCGTTCGCGTTAATTCCCGTACGTATACACAATTATATATTTTTTTAACTTTGTTTTAGCCAAAATCGCACCATAGTCAAGAACATTCACATCAATGCCAATCTAATGCAGAACAATGAAATCAATAAATTACACACAGAAATAAAATTAAAATGCTTTTATCTTATCTAAACAATACTGTTTCACTAATACAGCAAACATTTAATTGTCGACTACCTTAATTCACTAGTTACATAATTTTCGGAACTATTGTTGATATTTTGTGCATAAAAACAAGACTCACCTGTAGTCCACAGCACCGGCAGCGAATATATATTGGCTATTGAACAGAGCACTATATACAATAGTCAGTAGTATGAGGCAGTAGTTCCTTATTTGGTACCGGCCGAACTGTCCTAGCTCGACGAGTATCGCGTCCAAGTTCACCACGTCTGTCATCGTGACAACCACACCACGTCTGAAATGTACCACGGCCACACCACGTCTGGTCGGTGCGGCTGATATCACAACGTCATTGATATGCACTACTGGCTGGTCAGGGGCCGGTCGCAAATTATATTGTTATAGTCTATTATCGTGATAGTCTCATAATGTAATAATGGCACTTTGCTTTGTTTGATTCTTTGCACTCACACCGACAGAACGAATCTGTCTTGGGATCGTGCCGGGATGAATTAAATATTAGTTTTCAGAAGAGGCTGAGATCATGTTACTTGGGGACATGACGAGACGGTATTCTAATCTGCGAGTTAGCAGTCGTTATAATAAACAGGATTTTTTCTTTAGTTCCTTAAAAAAAGGAAAGGAACCTTTTTAGGAACACTATATTATCCGAGTGTTGGTCGGTATCGTGAAAAAATTAACATCAAATATTTATGCCCGCGCCTCCCTAAAGCTGTTAAAAGCCACTAAACGTAATCAAAATATAGGTCCATTTAAGTTTATATATTTGATACATTAAACAATTTTTACACTTTGCATGTGATTCAAAATATAAAATTGACTACGCTGTATATTCATGTGTATTGTGTATAAGATTGACACTCGATAGTAGAAGAAAAAAATGTTCCGATGGGCGAGTTATCAGCACACAAGTTTGTACAGAACCTTCGGGGTACGAGTCAGCCTCGCACTGGTACGGAATTTTTATTACTTATTTATGTTTAATATTCTGAATAAATTGCATAAAGCAGATTTTTTTATTTTGTTTTATCTAAAAACCAGCTATTTTTAACTTATATTTTGTTATTCGACACGTTATATTTTTATATATATTATCCACGAATATGCAAAATGGTTCTGAAGGTCATTTAAAATAAATAAAAAGAATATAGCAGTCGACCAAAACAGTTGTGTCTCCTTGAAGACGAAACTTAATAAAATTAACATCATTCAAGAAACACTGACACACATAGATCGTAATCGAGTTCGCAACAGATTTTGCCACCTTTATCGATAAATTTGAGGTTATCAGTTGGTCATATCAGTTAAACATAGACGCACTCATCCTAATACTACAATCTCACTTACTTGGTTGAAGTCTCCGGCACATTACCGATACAGGCTGTTGATAACTTTTATGTTCTTTAATTTAGAATATAAGTATGTATGGTAGAACAGGTGCAGTGGTTGATGGTTCAAGAGCAGGAAGTCTTTGTGTGGTTGAGATTTGTTTGTTAATAAATATGTACCTCACACTCGAAGGCCTGTTGGAGGTCTAGAAACGTTGGTGTGTTCTTTACCATTCAGCGATTTCCTGATGATGATAGAGCTATCTTAAAGGCAGCAATGCACTTGTAATTCTTTAATCGCAGTTGTCCATGGGCAGCGGTAGTCTTACCTTCAGGTGAGCCGTGTGCTTGTTTGCTCGTTGCTTCTGCAGGGCTGTGGGTTCTTGTTGTCAGATTTTATTGTTTTAAAGTAAGGAAAATTAGATGGCCGAAAAACAATGTGTTTTATAACATCCATATTAATATTATAAGTACGAAAAGTCTGCCCGTCTTTCTTTCTGTCTGTCTGCCTGTTACATCTTCACGCTTAAACCGATTTAGATGAAATTTTAGTTAAGAGATAGTCCGAGTCCCGGGAAAGGACATAGGGTAGGATACAAGATAAACAATTTCAATGTTTTACACAATTATATGTGGATATAGAGTTACGTGGGCAGTATTTGTATAACAATATAAAAATTCCCTTCTTCGAGGTGTGAGTGTGGGTGAAGCGACCTTCCGCTGTGGTGTTAGGTTGCACTGACTCCGACCTTTAGGTATCCTTTACAAATATATTGAAAAAAAAAAAGTAGTATATTTTTAATTATGCCATATTTATTTTATACTTTCATAAGCTTTTTCTCTCTAGGCATTTTCAACCGCTTAGGTGTAGGCCTCGTTCAACTGCAACTCTTTTAGTGATGTCGCTCACTGTGCTTACCCACTCATTCTTCTTACGATCTCATGTAAATCTTATGCTCCTGTCGATCTCATTTACTTAGTTGTCTTTTCCCAAAACGACCTCCTGACCAAGACACACATACTTGTCTACTTTCTCTATGATAGTGCCTTTTATGCTGATGTTTGCTGTACTATTGATGATGTGAAACCTTGGCCATGGCCTTGGTTTTGTCAAGATTCATTTTCAAGTCATACTGTGCCGACGTTCCATTATGTTCCCGTAGCCTGCAGGTCGTCCGGGTAGTCCGATAAAAATACGATGACATGCCTTGTACTGTATGTTAATTCCGTGCTGCTCTCGAAACGCATGCATTGTAGTTGGTCTTTTCTTGAAGAATGAACTCGTGTGGAATAATTTTAATTGTTCTAGAAAGTTAATTAACACAGTTGCCCTAGAATTTGTACTGCCCAAACCTTAATTTATCCGTGTGGTGACGGATTAAGAATACAAATTGTCACCACCCCAATTCATCCCGTGGGTGTCGTAAGAGCCGACTAAGGGAGCAAACTAAGCAGGACAACAGCACTGCAAAGAGAAGGAAAACTTGAAACAAGCCCTATACCAACCCGCGTCTGGCCAGCGTGGTATAGTAGGCCAAAACCTCCTTTCTAAGGAGAGGCCTATGTCCAGCAGTGGACTAGTATAGGCTATTGATGATGAAACCTTAATTATTTATTTAAAACTTAATACACATGTTGAACAAAGGCGGACTTAATGCCATGAGGCATTCTCTCCCAGTTTAGTAGGTGCAGAGATAGTGTTAAATTTGTGGTAGTTCATAATAGTTTGGTAATTGAGGGATAAACCAACATTAGACTAATATACATAAATACTCGTACATATACTATTTTACTTACATAGACGTCATGAAGGATACGCACTACATACACACTATATAAACATGCACACACATAAATTTAATAATATATAAATATACAGAATCGGGCACTAGCGTTGTGACTGTTCTGCCAATTCATGCCATGCCATGGATACCATGTAATTAATACCTGTGTTATGCAAATAAACAATCTGAATTCATTCCGAAGAAGTTCGTGGACTTTTTTCTTGAAAGTAAGTCGGTTTGTGTAATTACCCATGACGGGTTCCGAATCAAGTGACCAGTAATTATCAATATAGTTTTGTACTAGCTGAGAGAATAACTAATATCTTTATGGACTTGCTCAGTATCTTCGTCAGCATCTTTGCTGGCTGACGCATATACCTGAATAACGTTCAGAGTGGCTTTTTAGCTATCTTTATTTTTAGCGGCAATTCACTTGTGACCATTGAGTTGCAGGTGTCCATGGGCGGCGGTAGTTGCTTACCATCAGGTGACCCGTCTGCTCGTTTGCCCCCTTATTCCATAAAGAAAAACCTTTAATACTCATTATTTCTGCAAAATAATTTTCATGTTTCACATCTACCAGATGACCCGCGATGACTCAATTTTTCGTAACTTTTTATTCCCATTAGTTGGTAATATCGAAATAGCTTAAATATTATAAATTAACTTTATCGTAGTACAGTAATATTCTCCTTGGTGTGAATGATCGCGCTCATATGTGCTCTGTGGTAAAAACCATTGTTTTTGGTTCCTGCCATGTGCATATTGACACTTTTTTCGAAGTCTTGTATTTGAAATTGTATGTAAACCATTAATCAAAAGTTGAAGTTGAAATTGTATTTATTTTAAAGTTTAGAAAATTTTAGAAAATATGCAGGACGAGAATATAATGCCTCACAAATTAAACCTGGACAAAATATTGGTGGATATTGGCAATTATGGTGTTTACCAAATAGTTGTGATGGGGTATTTGATCGCGAACGTCTTGTCTATCGCAATAAAAAATAACCAGTACGTGTTTGCCGCGGGCCCTGTCGAGTACAGGTCAGTTCTAAATAGTTCAAATTATTCATACAAGTTACATTCTGTATAAACGAACAAACGAATGTCATTGGAAGACAACAATTGGTGTTTGTAGGTGCAAGGTGCCTCAATGTGAAACGTCACCACCGAAGTTCGAAGCAGGGCCGTGGGCAAGTTTTGCTCTGCCCGGCAAGGGGAAGTGCCACCGATACGTACCTCTTCAGACCTCTGCCTGTAAAGCTGACAGCTTCTCTAACAAGACGGAGCCTTGTTATTCGTGGGTGTATGCAAATAATGACACCATTTCATATGACGTAAGCTTCATAAACACTTTCAAGACATGATGGTATATGTTATCGTTAGGAATAGATATAAAGTTTATTGCACACTGACATAGTTTTTACAAGGAATACGACTGGCCAGAATATACAATTGGGGCTTAAAGCGATTTTTTACAGACAACATTTGAACGGACAGAAATGTCAATAGGTCAAAATAAATGAAATCTTGAGTAGTTTACGTCTGGATAGCACACACATAAAAATATTCTATTTTGTTAAAAAAAAACAATACAAAAAATGTAACAAATATATACACAGACCGTAAAATACAAACAGCAAGCAGGTACAACAGTGATATGTTGATGATATTGGGTTTGCAGGTAGAACGTCTTTTAAACAAGGCAGTATATATTATTGTACGAGTATATGTATACCGATACTTGACGAGTACACAGAGTTAACGCGTTCCCGTATTAGTAATCATCCACATACTTTACTAGTCCACTGCTGGACATAGGCCTCTCCTTAGAAAGGAGGTTTTGGCCTACTATACCACGCTGGCCAGACGGGTTGGTATAGGATTTGTTTCAAGTTTCCTTCTCTTTCCAGTGCTGCCATTTGCTCCCTTAGTCGACTCTTACGACACCCACGGGATGAATAGGGGTGTTGACACTAGCGATGTGCCGAGTAGGGCTTGACTCGAGTCAGACTCGATTCCTGCTTTAGACTCGCTTATTCGAATACCAATTTATTTTGATTCGAGTACGCCGGATTCGATTCCGGCACTCGAGTCAGGAAGAATCGAATTTGTACTCGCTGACTCGATTCTGTTTAGCGATTCCATGTGACTCGAATCTAGCATACGAGTTAGGTTGACTCGCTCGTACTCGATATCTGTTTACATAAGCAATGATGTGACGCCTTTTTTTTTGTTGTTGGGGTGGCAAATCCCTTCGGATCCCTGCTGCTCGGGGACTATGAGCCAGGAGTATGTGGGGATTCCTCTAAAAACCACCCCGACGGCCGGCCTCTGGTGTCCTACTCTGGGGAGGACCCGGACCATGTTATTTCAGGTCCTCCACGAATTGACACCAAGCCTAATCAGGCCCTATCCCAGGGGAGAAGAGTTCTGGACCCGAATTTCTAGACTCAAGTTCTAGATCGAATTTCCAGACTCGAGTCTTAAACTCGAGTCCTGGACTAGAGTTAACATTCGAATACCAAACATAGAACTCGAGTACTGGGCTCGCATCGTGGAATCGAGTCATGATTCGAATACCGTATAAACAGACTCGAGTCGATTCGATTCACCAAAACAGCGACTCGGCACATCACTAGTTGACACTATCCGTCACCACACGGAATTATAAGTAATACATACCTTCAAATTGGCCAACTCTTTGACAAGATTGCTCTAGCCACTAGACACATAATTACACAATTAATTACATATCATAAAGCCTAATCAGGGTCGTGGCAACGAATCGCGTGTTTCTGACATTTTGCAAGTTATTCCAAGTTATCAGGACGATCCGAACCATGCGATTGTGATTGATCGTCGATTAAGGTCTTTAATATTATTGTAGTTGTCACCGATTACGTTATCTACACAAAAAAATACAATTAATTATAATTCGTCTTCTATCTGATCGTGGATTAGTTGAGTACATAGCTTGAAGTGATACTGGTATACATAGTATCGTTAGTAATCTTGCTTGTATTATATGTTATTGAATAATATTTACTTACGAACACATTGTTTACAGACAGACAATTCAAATACATCGCATAATGTTATTGACATGGAAAAAGTGAGAACACACTTTTTCTTTTATTCTTGTTTTATTGAAATCTTCATGCATATTCGTAGGTACAATTCAATACAATTCTCTAATCGTCAACTTTGGGGTGCTGTAGAAATACAAATGCATGCAAGGACACCTTTAACATTATTTACGAACATGCAAAAATGGAAACTATAGTTAAACCGCCGTAAGCTTGACCCTCCTGATGGTTTGGGGGACGCGGGGCGGGGGTGCATTCAACCAATTAGCTAGTGCGTCGCTGTCCGCCGCCAGTGACAGACGTGAAAGCATGGCTGTACGTGTTATTTTTCTTAAGACTGCTACACACGGTATTATTTTGCAACATGGATAATATCTGCCGACTCTGCGTCACAAAAAGATTTAAAAACTTGAATTTCGGCTTACAGAGGTTCTACTGTTAAAGTTCTAATAAAGAATATTTATTATTTTACTTAATTTTTAAATTGTATCTGAATATAATTTACATGATGAAGATACAGTGATTTTATTAAAATTATTTTACAGTATAAAGTTTTACAATTAATCATAAAAACTTACAATACACTGACATTATAATACATGGAAATAAATTCGATTTTTATTACATCGTGTGTAGATTAAATCTCAAACAAATAAATCTGGAGATATCGAGTTAGTACATCGCGTCATGTATAGCCGAGCGCATCACCCGCCCCGCGTCCCGCAAACCATCAGGAGGGCCAAGCTTACGGCGGTTTAACTATAACGATTACGAGTACATTACCTACATCACTGTACTACATAAGTATACTTGACCACTCAATGTCCCTGCACTCCACTTGACGTCTCCATCACAAGACATATGGCTACGAGACGCCACCTCTTCGACGACATCTCTGCCCTGTTTCCAAACCCGCGACCAGCTCTGTGGCTCACCGTGTCCTCTAGCGGTATCCTCTACCACACACCATAGAAACTTAATCGTTATGAAGTGGTCCTATATTACAGTTCAACCTGGCGTGTCAGGAGTGGAAACGCACAATGGTGGGGACGCTACGAAGTGTTGCCTATTTTGCCACCATGCCGGTAATTAGTTTCTGCTCGGATACGTGAGTAAACACACAAACTCATTTAACAATGGAACTTCTTTGAATTTCCATTTTTTTAAGCTCTTTTTAGTGACTATATCGCTAATAGCGACGGATCTGAGCTGTTTTCATTAATTAGTGAATGTTTTAACGTCTAAATTTTGGTCTACTATAGACATTTTAAGTCTATGAATGCAGTGATAAAAAGCAAAGGTAGTGCAAAACTAAGAGAGCTAATATTCGTTAGTAAGGTTATGTAGTTTATGCTTTACTAGCGACGTGCCACTTATCTACTAAATACAATTTATATAAATTTGGGTTGTTCGCTGTTGCCTTAGACCCAATCAAAATACTTTTGAATTAGTGTAATAGAATTTGAAACAGGAATTCTTTCGTTTTATTTCTAGAAAATATTGTTCGACATTGTTACAGCTAAGTCACTTTTTTATTTAAGTTGAGTGTAGAGTAGAGTAGAGTAGAGTGAGAGAGTAGACTTGTCAGACAAACATCAAGTCATGTTATGGCAGGTAACCGCAATAACAGGACTTTAATACTTCGGAGCGGACTCGGGAAAAAGAACTCCACTCGGACCCAATTCGCTAGCGAACCTTGTACGAACGAAGATACTTGTTCGCATTTCACACTTGGTGTTATATGAACGGGCAATGGAGGCCAAATCATAATTCATTTATAATTTTTCTTGTCTTTGGTAGATTTGGGCGGCGCAGCGTCCTGATTTTCACAGCAGTTGCGCCAGCGTTTATTGGCACATGGCGAGCCTTTTGTCAAAGCTATTTAATGTACATGACGCTGGAGTTCATAGACGCGTTCTTGGGAAGCGGAGGCTACAGCACCATTTTTATTTTAGGTACTTTTTGAACTAGTTTGTTTGAGGGGGGTGATCTAGTACCAGGGATTTCCTTTCTAGGGTACACCTGGTTCCCCGGCAACTGGTACCCAAGACGGCGTGCGGATTTAGGTCGGTTCGAGTCCGACAACCACCCCAAAGGTGGGTGGTGTCCGAAAAAAAAGAGGGGTGATCTAGTACCTTAGTATTTACCCTGAGTCCAGCGTTACGTTGGCGATATCCGAAAGTTCAATATCAATATATCATCATCACCAAGTTACTGTTATATAATAGTACCAGAGTTGTTCCACTCTTACCTTCAGTGTTAACATTGCCAATTAAAATTGCTCAACATATTTTACAATCAATGTTTCAGCCCTCGAAATGGTAAATCTCAAAAATAGAACAATCGGTGGCACCGTTCTCTCCACCATGTACGCTATAGGACTGGCATTACTCGGAGTTTCTGCTTGGCTCATCCCATCCTGGAGAACTCGAACTATAGTCCTCTATGCTCCCGGTGTCATATTCATAGCTTACATCTGGACGATCGACGAAAGTGTCCGATGGCTTATTTCTAAGGGCAGGAACAAGGAAGCAGCTAATAGCATACTAAAAGCAGCAAGAATGAATAAAAAACGACTCAGCGTTAACACTGAAGCTACGTTAAAACACTTTGCGGAATCTGAGGGCGGAACGGGCCCAAATCAGTCGCTGAAAGATACGAAGAATGAACCAGCGACGTCTAAAAAGCCATTATACAAGCGGGTGCTTAAGTCGAAAGTGATAATGTGTCGCATACTGGTGGTTTCGTTCTGGTGGGTAACAACGACGATGGTATACTACGGGCTGACTATCAACTCAGTGTCCCTGGCGGGCAATATCTATTTAAATTTTTGTGTGACATCATTAATCGAGATTCCTGGCTACGTGGTTAGCCTGGCAACACTCAATCGTTTTGGCAGAAAAAGTTCCATTATGACGGCTTTCCTACTAAGTGGCATATCACTTCTTCTGATCGGAACAGCAACTAATCGTGAGTTTGTTTGGTCTAACTACTGTTTACTCTATTACTTTAAGACACCTTTTGCCATTAAACTGGCTCCTAAGAACTACCCACAAATGGAGACCTTTTAATTTAGTGGAATGGCAAACTTGGCTGTCTTTTTGTTAATCGAAAACTGTTTGAACAATTATTATTTCATGATTAATGTTAAAAATATTGTCTGTGATCTGACTGAAATTATTGCTTGTAACTTAACGTGATATCAACTGTTTAGTGGCTTTTAGTAGCGGCTAGCCTCGCGTATGTTTGTCAATCAATTCAGTTACAACGTGGAAATGGTACTTATTGCAAGATCGGTTTAGGCGGAAAAGACTAACAACCACAAAATAAACAAACGAAACTTCTTAGCACAAACTAACATTCAAAATCACCGACCCATGCATTGGTTGTGTTTCTTTCGTAGATACTACCATCATAATGTTGTCTATGTTTGGCAAGCTCTGCATAAGCATGTCCTATTGTTCCATCTACATCTACACGGTGGAGCTGTTCCCCACGGAGGCGCGCCACCAGCTCATGGGCGTGTGCTCTATGTTGGGCCGAGTGGGCAACATGATTGCACCGCAAACGCCATTGTTGGTTGGTATGTCTACATTTAATTTGGTTTTATTATCGTTGCACTTTGAGGCACACTTTGAATCATAGAACTAAGAAAAAATATATGGTGATGCTTAGTTGAAGTGCCATGTTGAATAACGTCTCAATTCAGAAATCTTCATAAAGTTGAATTTTTCTTTTTAATATATTTTTTTTCTTTTTTTTTTAGCTGCGTACTGTATAGTGTATTCCTGTGATGACGGATTAAGAATACGGCGTATCACCACCCTTATTCATCCCGTTGGTGTCGTAAGAGTCGACTAAGGGATACTGTAAAGAGAAGGAAAACTTGAAACAAACCCTATGCCACATCATACGTCACACCAATAGCCTTTAAAAAAGCAATCCCTCCCCCCCTATGCTATACAAAAGTTTACCCGAGAGAGGCACCAGCTTCGCTAGCATTGGACAATCAGAATCACACTCAGAACACCATGCATCTCGGCTCTGATGTCAAGACTGCGTATTATGCGGGGGAGGGGAGCACAACTGCACCTAACGAATCGTAATAATTCCTCACCACACTTGACGTGGACACTTGCAATATCAGGGGACGTGATCGGTTTCTCTCACGCAAAACCAATCATGCGGGGAGATCTGTTTACGATTTTGCTCTGACCTATGGCTTGTCACAACGGGGATTCAACGGCCACGCAAGTCTAATATGTGGAAAGTTATGAGCCTTCACTGTTGGAACTTCTGCTGACCTTTGAAAAAAGTCTGAAGTCACAGTTGAGGCCCCACTTTGATTCTCGGATCATTGCTTAATCCGGAGAACGGTGTCACTCAGGTGTTTGGTGCGGATGCGAATTGCATTCTGCCACCGCGTACAACACTAAAGGTCAGCGGCCTGAGATGGGATGTGTTCTCTCTTTGCGTCCTACTAATGAAGGCAGATTTATTTCTTGCCCGGTGATCCCAATGTCGTTGCCGATTCTGTCGCTAATGTAGTGCTTCAGGACATGAAACTGTTCGTTCCATCTTTATTAATTCCCATCGGTGGCATATCCAAGCCTTTGTTCAATAGATACTGCAAAACGGCATTCCGTTGAAAGGCTCAAAAGCCATCCGTCCAACTATAGGCCTATAGCCTAAACCTCCTTGTTCTCTAAGATTTATGGAATCCGTAATCAACTGCCAGCACCTCCGGTACTTAGAAAGTCACTAGCTACTCAATGACCGACAATATGGTTTTCGTCGGGTTCCTTAACACACCGGTGAGCATATGCGACCGGTGACCGGTGACCGGTGACCAAGGGTCATACTGCTGTGCTATCCTCCACACTGTTTCTTCTCTCTTCTTTTCTCTTCTCAGCAGTCTGGTTACCATAGTACAAGCATCCTCCCAGCTCCTAACTGCATCAGCTGGTATCGGAATCCTAGGCATTTACATAACGAGAAAAATAGTTTCGGGATCACAGAGGGTATGGTCAAATTAGCCTCGAAGAAGCTTAGAGGCAGTATTTCTCTCTGGCCCATCGCCTCCAACTCTATAAGGCACAAGTTCAGCCGCATATGGCATATTGTTCTTGTCTCTATGCAGGGGCACCCCAGCACCAGCTTCTCTCTCTGCCCATTACCGCATTCAACAGAGAACGACTCGAATTGTCGATAGCCAAAACAACTGACCGCGTGGTGACGGATTAAGAATACAGAGTGTCACCACCCCTATTCATCCCGTGTGTGTCGTAAGAAGCGACTAAGGGAAAAAAAACTAGGCAGGACAACAGCACTGCAGAGAGAAGGAAAACTTGACACAAACCCTATACCAACCCGTCTGGCCAGCGTGGTATATATAGACCAAAACCTCTTTTCTGAGGAGAGGCCTATGTCCAGCAGTGGACTATTAAAGGCTGTTGATGATGATGAAAACAACTTGCCCCCTTGGTGCTACATAGAGATGTAGCTTCACTCTGCATTTTCCATCGTATGCATGTATGTATCGCAAAATTTTCATCCCCATCACTTGGACTATTGGCACTCCACCACTATGCGCATTACAATACACTTTTGCCTCGCACAACCAATCTGTAGAACAAGTTGTCCTCTGCGGTATTTTGGGACTGATACGACCTTCAAACCTTCAAAATAAGAACCTGCTCCTTCCTCAAAGGCCAGTAACGCGCTTGTGATTACCTGAGTTGCAGGCGTTCAAGGGTGACGGTAGTCACTTTCCATTAGGTGACTACTCGTCTGCTCATTTGCCCCCTCTCTCATATAAGTAAAATAAATTATCATTTTAAATCACCGTGTTAAAATTCCTTGAAAAGAACCTTGTGTAGAATGTTTAGTTCCTGACTAAAAAAATTGTAAAAAAAAAAAAAAAATAGTATTGTTGAGGAATCACTGGTTCAAGAAATAGGTCACGTTAGAGGAGTATCTAAGTTGAAATAATTTTTGTGTGCCTAACCCTTGAAGCGTTTTAGTTGCCTTTAATAATATAACTCCAGCTGGTATTGTAAAATATTTTTTGAGGGTTAAACATTGTGTATACCTACAGGTGCATTATATGGAGAGTCTACCGTACATTTTGTTTGGCACGATGTCAGCAGTCTCTGGATTTCTTATGCTCTTAACTCCTGAAACCCTGAAGCTGAAGCTGCCAGACACCTTTGAAGAGGCAGAGAATATGAACATTATACCGCGGACCAGTAAACGCGTGGATATACTGTCGGCCATAGATGAAGGCGAATAGTCCTAAAGGCGTTCTTTTTTGTTGAATTACACTTTATCAACAATGTTTACACGTTTGTTTGTTTTTTTGCTCGTTTTATAAAGTATTTTTAACTATCGTAATAAAGAGATGACACAGAAATGCAAGCATTTTTTTTATACTAGCTATTGCCCGCGTTTTTGTTTGTGTCAATTTTGACTTGTCATATAGGGTAAAGTCACCAAAGAGTACGCACTACCAAAGAGTTCGCAGTGCTCTTCGTTGCTTGATTTTCTCTTGAAATAGCAACACTACTGCCACTTGTCAGTGGTTTATGTCGTGTTGAGCCGTTGGACAACAACTGTGATTACCGCGAAGGCTGACCTCAAGCGCACTCTTAGTTTCTATGAATGGTTGCCATTGCGTAATCTTTGCAACGCAGCACTCTAAGGAATCAGGACGAATATTAAGTACGAGACTTCTTTAATAATTAGTAATTAGTTTTATTTTTAATTTTATGTTAATAAAATAACCAAAGTTAAATTTAAATAATAAATACAAAGTGTAATACATAATCAAGTTGATTTGATAATAAGAAAAGTTTCCAAAATGCGCACTCTTTGGTGGCCTACGTACAACTTGGGAACAGTGTTTCATGATGTCGCCGTAGTTGTAGCGGAAAATATTACAACCAAACAAAATTTTCAACAAAACAAAATTTCGGAGAAATAGCGTCTCCTTGTCTTACCCCGCTATCCAATTGGATTGGTCTTATGCTTTGTTCTTGTACTCGGGCTCATCGTTGCGGCTTCGTAAAGATATCTCAACACATGGATATATCGGCAGCCGACTAGGCATCTCTGCATGGATTCTAGGACAGCCCAGGTCTCGATGGTGTCGAAAGCTTTCTCGTAGTCCATATAGCTCCGTGAGCTCAGTTGTAATTCCGTCTTCACCCGGAGCTTTGTTGTCACTAAGTTGTCCTAGCGCCATTTTAATCTCGCCAAGCTCGATGTCAGGAAACTCGTCTGTGAAGTGGAGTGTCAGTCTAGCACGCGAGTCTACCGCGCTGTGAGTCTGTGTGGACGATCTCGCGAAGTGTTTAGATCCCCATAAAACTTTTCGACTTCAGTGAGAATCGCTGTTTTAGAGGTGCTGGTGGTACCTTGTGCTGTTTTGAGTTTGAAAAGGAGGCAACAGGAGGCCTTAGGCTTGGCAAAGAGTTAAATTGAGAGAGGCACTCTTTACATGCCTGTTAAATTCCAGTCGCTCAGATAGTGTGGTGTTTACTGTCTCTCGTCTTTTCCTCAACAGATCCAGAGTCTCGCTGGTGGTCCTTGGTCGAAAGTGATTAGAATCCTCCTCGCGGACTACACGTACCAGGCTGTCGGCGGCATCGTTTACGTCCTGCGCGGGTTCCTACCATAGCGAACCGGTTCCGAAGTTCCAGCTGTAAGCTTACACATCCATCCTCAACCTGGGGCAGAGTTGATCAAGAACTATGTTTAATACGCATATATCCTCGAGTCCCGTGGCCGTAAATGGCGCTACTATCGAGGCTGTGCAAGAATACGTCTATCTTGGCCAAACTATCTATTTCAGCCGCCACAACTTCGATAGAAGAATTCGTCTGGGATGGGCAGCATATGGGAAGCTTTGTCATATCTTCTAGTCCCCAATTCCCCAATCGCTAAAAAGCAGGGCGTTTTACCAGTACATCCTACCCGTAATGACATACGGAGCCGAGACGTGGACACTCACCGTTGAACTGGTCCACCAGTTTAAAGTCGTTTAGCGTGCGGTAGAGCGTGCGATGCTGAGTGTTTCTCTAGTCGATAAAATTCGAAACGGGACTATTCGACAGAGAACTGGAGTAACCGATATCGCACAGAGAACCAGTGCGTTGAATTGGAAGTGGCCGGTCATGTCTCCAGACGGACTGGTGGTCGCTGGAGCCGACATGTGCTAGAATAGAGACCGCGATTTCTTCAACATTTAACACCATTTTTACATCAACAACCCTAGTAGTTAAAGGTAACGCCACATTCAATGAATGGGCTACCACTGGCTTACTCAAAAGTAGGAAAAGATTACGAGCTATATGATGAGAGAAATTATAATAAAAGTGAACAGTTTCATAATTATGTTCAATAATATGCGAAGCTGTTTAGGAAACTTTGTAAATTGGCTAAATCCCGTTTTATAAGATCAAAGATTAAAAGTAGCAATGATAAGATTAAAACCACTTGGAAAATTATTAACAATGAAACTGGAAAAAACAATACTTCTATATTCCTGTATCGACTACTAAATCTTTGAACTCCTCACCATGCCTAGGAGAGTCAATTTTAAAAGATAATGTTGGTAGGATTGATAGTGAATTTAAGTTCCAATGTGTTTCACCCCTTAAAATTATTAAAGAATTTAACTATTTTAATTACTAAGGCAATTATATCTCTCGTCACTAACTAATTGTCATTTACTTTTAATCAATGTGTTGATATTGGTGTATTTCCTGATCTTAGCCTGATTAGGCATAGTGTCAATTCGGGGAGGACCTGAAATAACATGGTCCGGGTCCTCCCCAGAGTAGAACACCTGAGGCCGGCCGTCGGGGTGGTTTGTAGTGGAATCACCACATACTCCTGGCTCATGAGTCCCCGAGGAGCAAGAGATACGAAGGGATTTGCCACACCCATTTTTGTTTTCAGTATTACCAGTATTTAAAGAGAAAAAGCTTTTAAGAAAAAATAATGTATGACCAATTACAAAGTTATTTTATAATATAGGTTATTTTATAATAATTTATTTCACAATAGACAATTTGGTTTTAGAAGGAGTCGCTCCACAATTGATACCAGTGTTGAGCTAATAAAAAATATATTTGATGGCTGGGGAGGATTGTTTCATTTACTCGCACACCTATAGGAGATTGTTAGGTACCTAGTTTCAATTACTGTAATAATAAAAGAGGGGAACGGGTAGGCGGGTCTCGTAATGGTAAGTGAGTACCGCCGCCCATGGACACGTGCAACTCAAGAGACTAAATGAGCACTCTTTGTGGTGGTGCCCCCCCCCTCCCCCCGTGTTAGGTGGAGGGTGAATATTGGACCTGCGGTAATCACACGCACTCGGTGATAAAGAATTTTCCTGTGTCTTTTTAAAACAAAAGAAAAAAATAGGTAAGCAAATAACATTAATAATAATAATATTAATAATAATAATATTTTACCACATTCACACAACGCCATCTAGTCCCAAACTAAGCAGAGCTTGTACTATGGGTACTAGACAACTGATATAAATACATATATACTTTTTTTTTGTAAATACATACTTATTATACATAGAAACACCCAGACCAAATCAAACATTAAATATTCATGCACACAAATGTTTGACTTGAGCGGGAATCGAACCCGCGACCTTTGGAATAGCAGTCCGTTACACAAACCACTACGCCATTCGGTCGTCATTACATTTGTAGTTGGTTATAAATTATTAGTTAGCCTACAAACCAGGAATTATCTCGTGTGAATTGCATTCCTGCACCTCTCTGTAGAATTATCGTCATATGGGGTCTACCAATAAGAACGTCCTGGTCTAAAAATTGAATAAAACACACATTTTTTTATGAAAAATGCATCCGATTGATATATTTGATAGATAATTTTATGCAATTTATGTTTTAAACAATATATCGGCCAAATGACCGCCGCGGGATTTTCGATGACGCGGTGCACCACTTCGGCCGGTAAGTCGGCTATGGCTCGTCGAATGTTGGTTTTTAGGTCACGAATTGTAGGTGGATTATTGCTGTACACTTGACATTTAACGTAACCCCAAAGAAAATAGTCTAAAGGTGTTAAATCACACGATCTTGGTGGCCAACTGATCGGTCCATTTCTCGAAATTAACGACTCACCTAACTTTCCACGCAATAATTCCATGTTCACTCGAGTAATGTGAGGTGGTGCACCGTCTTGTTGAAAATAAAGGTCGTCTGCATCAATATCATCAAATTCCGGAAAGAAATATTCGGTTGACATCGAGTTATAGCGCTCGCCATTCACAGTAACGGGGTTTCCTTCGTCACTTTCAAACCTTACTGAACACAAATGTCAAGAGACGTCAAAGATCCATCTACAAAACCAGGTCATCCCTATTGATAGACCCAGTTTATGAGTAAGTCTAAACAATAACTGTACTCTTGTACTCTGCACTCACACAATAATATGTTAGGCTTACGAATAAAATCTCTGAAATACTATTTTCCTTAATCTCTCATTAGAAAACTATCAGAATACCGAGCATTTTATTTAAGGTTAATCAGCAGTCATCGAGAGTCTGCATTTGCATGTACTGAACACATGTATTTTTCCTTATCGTGAAGGCTTAGTATTAACATTCATGATTTATCGATAGTAGCTTTAGATAGGAATGACTCAGTCTCAAAACCAGCTGACAAATGTCTCACACTTGATTTATTTCTCATAGAAAGGTTAACCTTTAGTTTATTTTATATGTATATATCATTGATTACTATTGTTTGAGGAGACTGAAAGACTAATTTCTGTAAATGAAAGCACATATTTTATTTTTTCGTATTAAAAACTACTCCGTGGTACATTTTGGTGGTATGATAATTATCATAACACCAAAATGTAAGCGTAAAATGCGTCGTGTACGGGATTTCTTTTTAATATTATTGTTTTTTTTTATATTAAATAGATCCTTTAGATACGTATGCTACATGTCCAATTTTGCATTTTATCAATATATTTTACAATTTTCGGAGTTTTTTGTTTTTAACACTCCATGGGCCCTCCAATTCCGAATCTTTCTACCACATTTAAAAGTGTTAGTAATGATTTGTACGATAGGCTTTATTTTTAATTGGTAATACATTAAACGTCAGTGGTAAAAAAATTGGCAGTACGTAAAAGTCGGTATTGTTTTATTGGTTTAGTCCCAGTAGTTCCATGAAGCCAGTTCCGCATGGAACTTTTGCAACTCACTAGTTCCATACATGGAACGATTGG